GGACTGAGCCCTCAGTGGCTTTTTAGGGCAGCCTAATCCCCGCTTTCCCGAGGAACCCTGCTGCACCACCAAACACCAGACAGGCCTGGGAAGATGCAGCCAGAATGTTTGGGAGGGAACTGGGACCAGGATGAGGGTCCAAACTTGCTTTTAAAAAGTCCAAGGTTATGGCAGCAGCATCTTGTGGAGTGTGCAAAGTGCTTTTTTGGGAGCTTTTAGCCCAGAGGAGGCTAAACCAGGGTTTTTTTCCCTGCTCTGCCAGCAAGCCAGCTGCCTTGGCTTCTCCTTGGGGGAATACTTCTCCCAAATATTCCACCAGCTGGTGCCTTCCCAGCCCCTGCCTGGCTGCTTGCTCACTGGCAGAGCTGCTTGTGCCACCTGTGCCACCAATCCGCCCTCGGGGCACCTGTTCGGGAAATCCCAAATCCCTGCTTTTGGGATGCCCTGGCTCCTTCCCTGGAGCTGCCGGGGCGAGGTGTGCAGTGAAACGGAGATCATTGCCTTAACGAGGGCGTCCCACGGGACGCTCCGCTATCATGAGCTGCCTAATCGGGCCGGAGGGAGGAGCGGGAGCTGCTCTGGCCGGGCATCCCGTGTGCACACGCTTGGGGTAGCCCAGCGTGGTGCCCGGAGCCTCCTGGCAGCGGCGAGGCAGCTCATGGGCGCATGTGATGCTGCCCGCTCTGGGAGGCTGCGGGAGCGCCGAGGTTTTCCATCCCCGCGGTGGGAAGGGAAGCAGCAGTCGCTCCTGTCCCCCGGGATGTGCCCCGGTCGCGGTGAGGGGCGGGGATCCCGCTCTGCACGGTGTCACCGCACCCTGGCCCCGGGGCAGCCGAGCCGGGCGTGTGGATCCCGTCGGGTGCCACCGCACCCTGGCCCCGGGACAGCCGGATCCCGTCGGGACACGCCGCCGGAGCGGGCTGGCAGACACCCGGCTCCTTCCCCAGGCTGCCGGGAGTGCGGGAGCTCCGGGAAGGGGCCGTGTGGAGCCTCGGACATCGCGTCCCGTGCGGGTGGGCGGTGGGCTGTTCCACCGCGGGCTCCCCTAACAGCATCGGTCACGGCGAGAGCTGCTGGCAGCGGCAGCCCGCTCCCATTTTCAGGGGAAAACTCGCCCGTTTCGCTCCAAAAGTAGCGTGGGAAATGTTGCATAAGGCAAAATGGACATCTGAGCATTTGTCTCGGTGATTTTTCCGAATATTTTTAATCGCCAGCTCCAGAGCGTGGAGAGCTCTGCTCTGTAGGACCTCGTTACGGCTGACTCTGACTTCCCTGGTCAGGCAGCCAAGGGGAGCCAAAACTGTCACCTCCCCACCAAAATCCCATCTCGGGGACACTTTTTGAGCCACGGAGGTGACTTGCCTGGTGTCACCATGGCATTGCAGGACCTGGATGTGCTCCATCCCTGCTCAGCCATCCCCGGTAATGAGGGCCACCATCATCAGAGCTGGATAAATGGATTTGGGGGCAACTTTTTTAGGCTGAGGTGAAGAACAATTTGAATTTTTGGGGTGTGGGAGAGTTGCCAGCACTGCCCAGGGGWGATTTCTAACCCGGGCTCCAGGGAAACTTGTGGTTGGGAAACTTGTGATTGCTAAGACCTGGCTTCGAAGCGTTGCAGGCGCGTGATGTCTGGGGGTGGGGAAGCTGCGAGTGCCCCCCTGGCCATCCTGTGACAGCACCTGGGGGGTCCTGGCCCTGTAAACGAGCCGAGAAAGTGGCTTTAAACACTTGACTTTGGGGACTTTTTGTRTTTCCAGCCGGTGGAGATATTGGAAATGTTTTCTGGGATTTGTTTCCCTCCCCGTCCAGTTTTGCTCCGAGGTTATAACCTTCTCCCGAGGCCTGAGAAGGGATGTCCCACCAAAGCTGGCCATCTGTGAGGACCGCGGCCATGCACGGCCCCACCATGTACGGCTCTCGTTGCCGGTGACTTCAGCGGAGCCACCGAGCAGGGAGACGAGGATTTAGGATTTTCTGGGCACGAAGGAGTTAAAGTCTGGTAGCGGCTTCTGGGACAGGCAGTAGGGTGCGTCTGAAGGCTGGCTTGGCTCCCGGAGGTTTTGGGGGGCTCAGGTGTGTCCCCGGGCTGGCGGCGGGGTCCCCGAGGGGCCGTGYCGGGAGCGGGAGGCTGGCGCAGAGAGAGGAGGGCTTGGCAGGGCCGGCGGCGCGGCCACTCCTCCCCCTGCTCCGCTCCGCTTTGAAGGGCCGGAGCTTGGGAGGAGAGAGCGATGTGAGCGCTCCCGGAGCTGGCCGGGGCAGAACTGCTGCTTCTTCCCTCCTGTCCTCCCCGCAGCCTCCCCGTTCCGCTGCCGGGAGCAGCGGAGCCCCTTTCCCTCTCCAATGGCCCCACCTCGCTTGGGGTTTCTGCTCCTCCTGGCTTGCTGCCTCTCCCGCTCCGAAACGCAGCTCCCGGGCTGGGTTTGGAACCGCACTAAACCCACGGGGAGCGCAGCAGCAGCCGGTGAGGGAATCCCGGCATCGGAGCCGCCAACTTCAGCGGCGACTGGGGCTCCCAGCCCGTCCCCAGGGACGTGGGGTGGCGAGGCGGCAGGGAATGTCACCACCCCAGGGCGGCAGGAGCCAGATCCCGCTACGGCAGCGCCCGTGGGTGAGGGAAGCGGGGGCGAACCCACGGAGCGGCGGGACGGGAATGCCGCGGGGCTGGCGGAGAGCACGGCACCGCCGAGTATCGCTCCTCCCCGCAGCACGTCACCTGGCCCGGGACAGGAGGGGGCCAGCAGCCACAGCGAGGACCCCCGGCTCCYGGGGACAGGGACCACCGACGATCTACAGCTCCTGGGGACAAGGACCGCCGAGGAGCTACAGCTCCTGGGGACAGGGACCACCGAAGACATGGAGCTTGCAGGGTCAGGGAACACTGGGGAACCCCAGCTCCTGGGGTCTGGGACCACCGAGGACCTGCAGCTCCCGAGGATGAGAAGCACCAAGGACACCCGGCTCCTGGGAACAGGGACCCCCAAGGATCCACAGCTGCTGGGGACAGGGACCACTGACAATCTGCAGTTCCTGAGGATGTGGGCCACCAAGGACCCCCAGATCCTGGGGACAGGGACCACTGAGGACCCGCAGCTGCTGGGGTCAGGCACCACTGAGGATTTACAGCTCCTGGGGACAGTGACTCCTGAGGATCCCCAGCTCATGGGGAACACCAAGGACTCCCAGCTCCTGGGGTCAGGCACCACTGAGGACCCCCAGCTCCTGGGGATGATGAGTACCACGGACCTACCATTCCTCATGACAGAGAGCACCAAGGAGCCACAGCACCTGAGGACAGGGACCACTGAGGACCAGCAGCTCCTGAGCATGGGGACCACTAAGAATCTGCAGCTCCTGGGGAACACTGACGATCCACAGCTCCTGAGGACACCGACCACTGAGAACCCACAGCTCCTGAGGGCAGTGACCACTGAGAACCCACAGCTCCTGGGGAACACTGATGACCCGCAGCTCATGAGAGCAGTGACCACCAAGAACCCGGAGCTCCCGAGGACGGGGACACCCACAGCAATGGAGACACAGGTGTCCTTGCAGAGACCAGCGGGTCCCCAGCCAGGTAGTGCCCCTTTTCCTTTCTCACCAGGTGACAGTCCCCGTGAGCGGGCAGTGCCATTCCAGGACCCTTCGGCACAACCTCCCCATCACCTCCACGGAGCGTCACCGAACCCATGGCACGGCACCAGCCACCGGGGGCTGGCTCTGGCTGGCAGGAACGGGAGCCAGAGCCCCCCTGGGGCTGCCCAGAGGGTGGATAAGGGTGTGGATCCTCCTGCTGCCGATAACTCCATTCCTCTGCAGTTTGATTTACTGGCCGCTACCACGCGGCTCTACGGGAGCAGCGGCGCGGGTCTCGCCGCCTTCTTCCCGGGACTGACGCCTCTGGCTGGCCGTTGCCAGCCCATCCCGAGCCACCTGCCCTTCTGCGGCGTGCTGGGCACCAGCCACGTCCGGCTGCCGAATTACCTGCGGCACGGCAGCGAGGAGGAAATTCGGGCGGCTTTGCATGAGTGGGAGGGGCTGCTTGAGTCACGGTGCCATCGCTACCTGGAGTGGTTCCTRTGCTTGCTGCTGCTCCCCGGCTGTAGCCCCGTGGTGCCTGTAACCCCCCCGCCGTGCCAGGGCTTCTGCGAGGCCGTCAGAGACCTGTGCTGGACTCACTTGGCCGGCGGGCGCCTGCCTGTGCCTTGCGATGCTCTCCCTGAGGAGGATCAAGGGTTTTCTTGTGTCTTTATTAATGCTTCYGCAGGTAACGTGGCTGGGGGACGCCCCGTGTGCTGTGTGCCCCCTCTTCACGCTCCCCCAGGCACTGGGGGACGCTCCTGCCTCGTGCCCATGGGACGCTGCTGAGTCCAAAATCGCTTTCCATCCAGCTTTGGCTTTTCCAAACAGAGAACCAGCGGGTTTTGGCTCTGTCCACAAGGCTGAGCCTCACTCATGGTGAATCACAGTGGCCAGGACAGGGGATGCTCCCCAAGCASTGCATGCTGGCATTCAGGGCTGGTTCCCTGGTGCTGGAGAGCTTTGGGGTGACCATCCTGGGCCTGGGGCACCTGGAGAGCTGGCAGCTCTCTGCAGGACCTGGAGCCCATGACCGCCTGGCCGCAGCGCTGCGGTGGGGAGGAGGTTTCAAGGTGACCCCGGCYGTGCCCACACTCTCCCCTCTGCCGGAGCAGCCCTTTGGGGTTAATGATTCACCCAGCGGCGGCTAATGTTTGATCCCYGAGTGGGAGAGGCTCCTTGGCCTCCAGCTGCATCATTCGGTGCTTGTGACCTTCCTACGTGCCAGCCAGGGAGCCAGACRGGGCAGGGGGTGACTGGTGCTCGGAGAAATGCGCCTTGGGATGGAAGCTGCAGCTCCCCTCTGAATGGGGCTGTGTTCCCGCGCGACCCCCGCGCCCTCGGGGGATGCTGGTGAGGAATGCCGAGGCTGGGGGCTGGCAAACAAGGGTCCCCTCGGTGTCAAAGAGGCTCTGTTCACTGCGGGGGTGCCCTGGGACGCCCTGGGGATGCTCGGAGAGGAGGCGTGTGCCCATCCGGGACTGCACCGTGGTTCCTTGGGCAGGCAGTGCCAGGAGTGAGGGGGGAATGTGGGGGCTGTGGTGCACCCCACAGAGTGCCTTGGCATTGCCCTGAATCCCACACTGCCAGCCAGGAAGGTCGTGGCAGGGTGGGGAGGTGGCTTGGAGCATCCTGGGGACCTTTCCAGTCGCAGAATCCCTGTATGCAGAGACATCCCCATGGCCACCCTGTGCCAGCACCAMACCCACTGTGCTCTCTGCCATCTCTGTGTTCCACGGTGGGTGCTGCTGGTTTGCCACTAAAAGCCTGAAATGTTTGGGGACGAGAAGGGGTGCTTGGCTTTTTGGGGAGCAGACATCTGAAGAGGTCTCCCCTTAGCCCTCTGCTCCCCAGTCCTTGTCCAGCCTCTGTCACTCCCCAAAAAAAGCCCATTTGCAGTGGGAAGTGCCGACACCCAGCTGCCAGCCCGAACTYGGGGGCGAGTGGCATGTTTGAGGAGGAGGGAGACTCCCAGAGCCGGCTGCAGCTCCAGGGCGGAATGGTTGAAAATTGYCCTGCTAACAAAAGCCTCTTTGAGCATGTCCCCGTCATGCTGAGCCCCGGGGGGGACACAGGGACTGTGTCTGGCTGCAGGAATTGCAGCACTGGCTCTTGCTCCTGTGCAGACCCCTGGGAGGAAGCTCCAGTTTCCTTTTCCCTTAAAGCTGCTGCAGATTTGGCTTCCTCCAGCCCCAGATAAATGCAATCCCTGCATCCTGGTGTTTGCAGTTGGAGGGAGCTTGTGGGGTGCCTGAGCAGGGGGTGGCTCAAGGTGGGTGACAGGCTGAGAGTCTGGGGGAGCCCTGGTTCTTCACCCCATCCTTTTTGGTGTAGGGCTGTGCACACCTGGGAGTGAAAGGATGCTGGGCTCCAGGATCCAGAGGGGAAGCCGATTGGAGATGCCCCATGGAGAAGCCTGATCCCAGTGCAGGCAGATGAGGGGGCTGAAGCTGGTGGAAAACCAGGAGGGAGATTTTCTCCCAGCCAGGTGCTCAGTTTTGGGTGCCGATCTTGGGAGGGACTGGGCTCTTGGGGAGCAGGATGGACACAGAGCAGCTCAGAGACAGAGTTCCAGAGGGTCAGTCTGGCTCTGACAGCGTGAAAATTCACCCCCACCTTTAGTTGGCATTTCTAATGTCCCCACTGCTGGGTCCCTGGCATGGGGCTGTTGCTGCACTGGGGCTTGGCAGCAGCGGGGAGCCTGGGAATGCTCCATGTCCCCCAGGCTTTAGAAGAGGCACCCAGGTTTTCATCACCATCCCAAGAGACGTGTTTTCCTTTCGGGCTGGGCAAGGCTGGGCTGATTCCTTCTTTCTCTTCTCTTTTTTCTTTTTTTTTTTTTTGGTTTTTTTTTTTTTTTTTTTTTTTTTTTTTTTTTTTTTTGTAAGAGCTCTGGAGGACAATGCCTGGCTCCAGAGCTGGGTGGAGGCTCCTGGCTGATCCTCCTGGGTTCAGCCCAGGATACCTCAGGATACACCTCTGATTGCCCCCACTCCCCATTACTCCCACGAAAAGCAGAGAAGGAACTGCGCTTGTTGAATTGTCCCAGCTCCCTCTCCTGATTCGGGATGGGGCCAAAAATCAGCACTGAGCATCCCTTCCCCCTGCAGATCCCTCTGAGGGAGGGCTGGTTGGGTTTCCTCACTCCCAGGAAATGAGAGGTTAAAAGCACCGGGCGTGCTCGCTCCCGTGGAGCTGGCAGCAGCCCCGAGCGAGCGGCTGACATAGGAGAGGAGGAATCCAGCGCCCGGTGTGTGGGCGATGAGGATGTGCCGGCTGCCAGAACAACGGGAGCTGGCGGACGCGGCGCTGGCTCGCCCCGAGCAGATGTTCAGCTGCGCCGGGCAGGAGAGCCGGCCTCCAGCAGAACTTCCCTAATTCCCTAATTCTCAATAGGAGTTGGGAAAGGAGGCCACCTYCAAATTGAGAGCATCTGGGAGGCTGAGCTGGCCAGAGCTGCGTTCCCAGGGTGTTGCGAGGGGATGGCTCTGATTTATTCCCAGCTGGGGTGACYGTAGGATCTTGTCCTGGAGTGACGCGAGGGGTCACCGTGATCCCGGAGTGARTGTGGATGCAACGCGCTGCCTCTGTGGTGGTTCAGCATCCTGGAGCTGCAGCAGCAGCCCCCGACCACATACAAGACCCCTTTGGGTTTATCCCCTCRGGGGATCTGAGCTGCCTGGCCTAGTGGGTCATGTCCCTGCCCACGGCAGGGGGCTTGGAACGAGATGATCTTTGAGGTCCATCGCCACCCAAATGGTTCTGTGATGTCCCAGCTGTGGTCGGAGGGCAGCAGCCAGGAATGGGGAGCGTTTTGGGAGGCACATCCCAGTGGTGTGGTGAGAGCAGCTCAAGGGGGCTGCCTTGGCCAACGCACAGATCTGGGCTCCTGGGGAGGGAGGGTGAGAACAGGGGATGTGCATCCAGGACCCGCTGGAGGATGGTGCGTTTGGGAGGTCACACTGTCCTTGCTGAGTGACCATCCCTGGCTGGCCAGCTGAGACCATCCGCTGTGCTTGCTCCCTGCAGAGAGCCTGAGCGCCGAGGTCAGCCTGCTGGAGCTGATCGGGGACCCCCCAACGGAGGAGATCCACAGGATCTACGGCCCTGACAACAACCCYGGCTATGTCTTCGGCCCCAACGCCAACACGGGCCAGGTGGCCCGCTACCACCTGCCCAGCCCTTTCTACCGGGACTTCTCGCTGCTGTTCCACATCCAGCCCACCACGCCCCGCGCCGGCGTGCTCTTCGCCGTCACCGACTCCTCGCAGAGCATCATCTACGTGGGCGTCAAGCTCTCGGAGCTGCGGGCGGGCCAGCAGCAGATCATCTTCTACTACACGGAGCCGGGCTCGCCCARCTCCTACCCGGCCGCCACCTTCACCGTGCCCACCCTGCTCAACCAGTGGACGCGCTTTGCCATCAGCGTGGAGGAGGAGGAGGTCGTGCTCTACCTGGACTGCGAGGAGCACGAGCGCGTGCGCTTCGAGCGCTCCCCRGATGAGATGGAGCTGGAAGAGGGCTCCGGGCTCTTTGTTGCTCAGGCTGGAGGGGCTGACCCGGATAAATACCAGGTAAGAGCTCGGCTCGTCCTAAGGAGTGTCTCCAAGGAGCCTGGAGAGACGTGACACCACCACACAACCAGTGGCCAYGCTCCATGTGTGTCCTTGGGGAAGGGGACACCTGAGTTGGGTGGGAAGGTGGCTTGGGATGCCACTGATTGATCACCTTGAGGGTCACCAAGGCAAAGCTCTCAATCTGGGCTGGCAGGAACATATGGGCTTGCCCTACAACACCCACCATTGCTGGTGCCTTTTCCCAGCAAACGCTTCAGATCTCCCAGTCACTAAAAATACCCAGCTCCTTTGGTGGAGATAGTTTGGCTGGGAAAATGTCTCTCTTAGCTGGAAAAAATGCTTGGGCTGGAGCATATCTTTGCTGGCTGGTGTTGGGTGGTATCTCCAGGAAGGCTCTGGAGGGTGAGGAAGGATGTGATAGCTCAGCCCGTGCTTTGAGCAGGGCTCATGTTCCAGATAAGGTCTGTGGAAAGTGTGGGGAGAATGCCCAGCTGACATGGAAATCCCCTGCAGGACTCGAGGAGAGGAATGTRCAGGTTTATCCTGGGCTGAGCAGGATTTGCCCAGCAACAGAGGCGCCGCTGAGGGGCACAGTGTTTTTCCTGAGGAGTTTTGCAAAGTTTGTGAGCTTAAACATCATCCTGACCGTACTGCCACATCCCCCCTGGAACGGCTTCAGGCAGGGAAAGTTTCCCCAGGAAGGGGTTAATCATTGATGGGCTACAAACTGGTTTGCACTGGGATTCGGGTCCTGGAGAGCAGCTCTTTGCTCTTGAAGAGCAATTTCTTTGCTCTTGAACGTGCTGGGAGGGCCTGGAGCAGAGCAGCCCCTCAGCAGGTGATGCTCTCGAGCTTGCCAACACCCCGATCCCGCTGCCCACCCCCGGCTTTCCCGTGGGGAATGGCCAGCCCTGGAGGGAAGGAGGCATCTGACTGCCCCGTGGTGTTTGCATGGCTGTCCAGCCCTGCCTCGCCTTATCTGGAACTAACGGGGCATCAAGCGGATTAAAGCCTGGCCCTGGGTCAAGCCTCAGGACGAACTCGCTGGGGGCAGCTGTGGGATGTCCTGGCACCTCGGCTCTTTCCCGTCTYGCCTTTGTGGCCAGGAAACCCGGAGGGGCAAAGCCTGAGGGTCAGGCAGAAGCCCTGGGACAGCAGCTCTTGATGGGGCAAAGAGGGTCTCAGCTGGGGTCTGCTGGGGGGSTTTGTTTGCAGCTGGATGTGGCACTTGGGGTCATGGTTTAGTGGGGGGTCTGGCAGTGCTGGATTGGTGGTTGGAGTTGATGATCCTGGAGGGCTTTTCCATCCTTAATGATTCCATGATTCTATGGATTCCCTGTAGGATCTATGGTGCTGCTGCCCTCTCTACCAGAGCAGAGGTTGCAGAGGGCCCCTATAACCATCCCTCATGGGGCTGCATTGCTTCAGTCCTTGGACTGGCTCATTCTGCACGCCTCTGGCAAGCCCTGGGTCTCAGCCTTGCAGCCCCTGCCCAGCACCACCAGCACGGTGCCGGAGCTGGCACCACRTGGGCCAAGACACCCCGCAGAGCTTTTACCAGGATCTGCTGGCCGTGATCCTTGTTTTCCCTCTCCCGAGGGCTCCCTGGCCACAGCCGAGTGCCCTGCCCCACGCAAGGACAGCTGGCGGCTCCTGCAGCCCACGTGTTGTGTTTCCTGGGATAATCCGCACTTCCTCGCAGTTTATTTGTGTTCTGCAAGCATAGTGTGCATCCAGGCCGCTTGTTTATACAAGAAACCGCCACAAATCCCTTCTAAGGATGCTGCCTCCAGGCAAATCCCCTCAGGAGCAGAGGGGCTGTGGGCACCAGCAGGGCTCCCACTGCAAGGGGTGTCACCCCGCACATCCCACAGCCCTCATCCCAGGGAAGGCCTGAGGGACGCAGGGATGCTGTAGGGATGGGACACTGCCGAGCTGGGATTCTGCCCATCCGTCTGATCGCAGTGGGGAGGAGCAGGGCACCACGCTGGGCAGTGGGCTCAGACAGAGGAGGTGCCTCCCCCTCGGTGTCTCTTCTCTGGGCAAGACACCTAAAATAATATTTGGGCTGGCCTGAAAGCGCAGCGCGCCACGTCCGGGTGAGGAAATGCGATGGGCTTAGGAAAACAAGGATCGGGGCAGGCGGAGTGCAGCCAGGCTGACTGTGACATCATATGAATGTTTTATAAGTAGATTAATTAGTAGCTATGTAATAATTGCGAGATATTATAAATATATTTTTATATGTAATAAAACACTACATAAATTCCTCTGGCGAGCAAATGCCCAAGCCGGATGGTGCCCTCCTCTGGCTGCGGATCTCGTTCTTCCTTTTTCCTCCCGCCCGAGGACGCGGTGGCCGAGCGGCACATGGGGTGGGTCACATGGGGCAGGGTGGCTTTTCTGTGTCCCCATGCGCCCGCGCTGTCCTTGCAGGGGGTGATCGCGGACCTGAAGCTCCGAGGGGACCCGCGGGCGGCCGAGCGGCAGTGCGAGGAAGAGGAGGATGACGCGGAGGTGAGCGCGGGCAGCGCGGCTGGGGCGGGCTCGGGGTGCCCCCGCCGCGCCCCCGGCTCAGCCCCCGCCCCTTCCCCGCCGCCCCACGCAGGTCTCCGGGGATTTCGGCAGCGGCATGGAAGGCGGACGCCAGCCCTCGGGCAAGGTCCAGGTGAGCGGCTGGTCGCGGCCGAGGGCACGGGATGGTTGGTGCCGTACCAGCGCCCGTCCCTTTCGGGAAGGCGCCGGGAGGTGAACRGTGCCGTGGTGTCCCCTCGTTGTTGGCGCAGGGTGTCCCGGGGCTGGTGGATGCTGTCCCCGTCACCTCCCCGCCCGTGGCGGGGGGCAGTGGCTCCAGGAGCGGCGTTGGGTCCCCGCAGCAGGCCGAGAGGACCAGGGCGGAGGAGACTCTGCGGGTCCCCGCGGCAGGTAATTCCAGCGGCTCTCCCTTCCCCGGGGACAGGATGGTGTGGTCGTCCCCAAGCACGACCGGCCCCTTTTCCTTTCGCACAGGCACCGGCCAGAAAGGCGAGAAGGGGGAGAAGGGTGAACGTGGCTTGAAAGGGGACTCGGGGACTGGTGGCATCGTGGGGCCAGGCAGTGTCAAGGGTCAGAAGGTGGGTGACAGCTGCTCCCCGGGGGCTCGAGGGTGTCGGTGACGTGTCTGTGTCTGACACCTGCTCCTGTTTCTGGTCCCCAGGGGGAGAAAGGAGACCTGGGTGTCAAGGTGAGCATCGCTGTGGGAGCTGGCACAGAGCCGTGCCTTCCCAGGGCTGTCACCTCAGGGACCGGCCACCCATACCTATCCCCTCTCCTCCCCAGGGCAGTGCTGGCTTTGGCTACCCTGGCTCAAAGGGCCAGAAAGGAGAACCTGGTGACCCTGGCCCACCCGGGACCGTCTCTCGGCACGCCGATGGCTCGCTGGTGGAGCAGGTCACCGGCCCCGCGGGGCCACCCGGCAGAGATGGAGCCCCTGGCAGGGAYGGCGAGCCCGTGAGTCAATTCCTGCCCCGTGGGGTGTCCCCTGTCYCCCCACCCTGCCCACCTGCGCACTGACCTGTCCCCTCTCTGCTGTCCCTAGGGCGATCCTGGCGAGGATGGCAAGCCCGTAAGTGGGGTGSAGGGGTGGCAGGGTGATGGGGACAGCCACCCCCCTGCCTTGCCACCCACTGACCCCACCCTGCTCCGCTCTGCAGGGTGAAATGGGGCCCCCAGGGTTCCCCGGGATGCCGGGAGAGCCGGGTCAGAAGGGGGAGAAGGTGAGTGCTGCTGTCAGGGGCAGAACGTGCCCCCCTTGCTTTACCACCTGCTCGGCTGTGCCCCCAAACCGTGCTCTCTCCTGTGCCAGGGCGATGCAGGTGTGGGGCCACGAGGACCCCCGGGGCCACCCGGCCCTCCGGGACCGCCAGGACCCTCCTCCAAGAATGACAAGCTGGTGAGTAACCCCGAGACGAAGGGGTTGAGGGCTGGGTGGGTCCATCAGGCCATGGAGGTGCGGGGTGCTGCCCCCAGCGCCGCCGGGTGCCCCCACATCACCCCCGTGCTTGTCCCGCAGACCTTCATYGACATGGAGGGCTCTGGCTTCGGCGGCGACCTGGAGAGCCTGCGGGTGAGTGGGCTGAGGGACCGTCCTGCCAGCTGGGGACGGGGGGACACCCTCAGCCATGGCYCCCCGCTTCTCTTGCAGGGTCCCCGAGGGCCACCTGGGCCCCCAGGGCCGCCTGGTGTGCCCGGTTTGCCGGGGGAGCCGGGCCGGTTCGGGATGAACCGCACGGACCTGCCAGGACCGCCGGGGCTGCCGGGCAGGGACGGGACCCCCGGGCCCCCGGGGCCAGCGGTAGGTCTGTGGGGTGGCCAAGGGGACCCATTCCATGGCCAGCCCGTGCTACTTGGGGCTCAGTGCCCACCAGCCCTGCGGGGTTTTCCTGTGCTGGAGCCAGTTCTGCATCCTTACAGGGTCCTCAGGGTCCTGCAGGAAGAGACGGGGAGGCCGGGCAGCCAGGGCCCAAAGGAGAGCGGGTGAGCATCCCTTATCCCCTGTGCCCCAGGAGTGTGTCACAGCTGTCCCACGGAGCAGCTGGCACCTCCCTGGGACACCCSAGTTCCTGGGCTGGGGAGCACCACRCTGCTTCTGCCTGGAGCTGGGCAGCTTCTTCACAGCCTCTTGTCCCTCCTGCTCCTTCCAGGGCGACGTGGGTGACCTCGGCCTCCCTGGGCTGCCGGGACCCAAGGTACTGGGCCTGGGGCGAGTGTTTTGGGTTCTCCACTGCAGACTGGAGGCAGGGCCAGCTTGCACAGSAATGGGGAGGGGGATGCTGTGTTTGGGTTCCTTGAGGCCGGTGCCACAGCTCAAGGGTGCCTGGAGCTGCTGGCACCCCAAAGSACGGTCACTGGGCTCCTGCCACCGCCCCTTGGCTTTGCTCCAGGCACTGCCGCATCAGGAAGCGGGCAGGAAAGCCAAGGGGGGTGGGGTTTCAAGACACACTAGAGAGTTTGCTTGGGGTTGCCCATGCCCCACTGAAGGATACCCCATCTGTGCATCTCCTGCCTCCCTGCTCCAGCTCCTTTCCACCCTTCATCCCCAAGTGTGGAAGCAAGGCCTTTTCCAGCTGGGATGCTGCCCCTTGGGATGACCATCCACTGCAGCCTGAGCTGGGGGCAAAATCCTCAAATATTAAGGTTTCTTAACCTTAATTCTAACCCTCTGTACTTCAGAGGGCAGGTGGGGTGGCGGTGTGTGTAAGGTCCGAYGCTGCTGCTGCCAGCCCCATGGCAATGCCAGGAATGCCCGCGATGGCAGTGCCAGAAATGCCCGTGATGGCAGTGCCAGGAATGCCCGAGAGCATCCCTTGCTGGCTCTGCGGCAGCCCCGGAGCCAGCCACGCGAGCAGAAACGTTCCCATTCATGGTTTTAGATGAGCCTCTGGTGGCCGCTGCGGACATTACATGGGAGCTGGTGGGATGAAGGATGGCTGGGCTGGACACTGCCCYCTGCCATAAAGCCCCAAGAGAGGGGAGCATCAGGGACACCATCCGTGTCCCGTCCCAGAGGAAATTTGGGAAGGTTCTGCCTCCTGCTCACAGGCTCCAGGCAGGGACCACTGCCACCTCCTATCTGTCCCCTTCTTGTCCCCTTTGCAGGGCAGCAAAGGAGAAACGGGACCAGCAGGACCTCCAGGAGAAATGGGCATAGCTGGCCTTCCCGGGCCCATGGGACCCCGAGGGCAGCCAGGGCCCCCTGGCCCCCCGGGACCGCCGGGGCCGGGCTACGAGGCTGGATTTGTAAGTGGTCACTGCGGCYACGGGGTGGGATGAGCTCAGGGACAGACACAGCTCAGCCCTTCCCGCTGCATTTAGGGTGACATGGAGGGCTCGGGGCTGGCATTCACTCCTGGACCGCCTGGACCTGAAGGACCACAGGTAGGACCGTTCCTGCCCCTTCCCTCCTCTCTGTCCTGGGCTCCCTGCCACCATGTCCCCTGCCATCACACAGTACTCACCGTCCCCTCCTTGCTTGCAGGGCGTGCCCGGACTGCCCGGGGTGAAGGTGAGAAACTCTCCCAACACCCTCCCAGCTCCATCCGTGTTGGATGCCTGCACGGATCCCTCTGACTCCTCTTTCCTTKCAGGGAGAGGTCGGCAGCCCCGGACAGCCTGGCCTGCCAGGGCCAAAGGTAGGAGCACCGGGAGGTTGGGACAGCTCTGTGCCAGTGCCTGGGTGTGCAGGGCACTGGGCAGGACCCCTGGGCTCCCCAGGGTGGGGCTGCATCCTGCCCTGCCCCACTCCCATTGCAGGGAGATGCTGGAATGCCTGGAGTGGACGGCCGTCCTGGCCTGGAGGGCTTCCCTGGACCACAGGTAGGAGCCTCAGCCCCCCAGTCCCAGAAAAAAAACTCCCACTGCATTCAGGGCACCCTCCATTGCAGCAGCTGCATCCCTAGCAGCCAAAATTCACCCTCCCTGCAATGGAAGCCGGCTCACGGTGTGGGCACCCCTTAGCATCCTGTCCCCATCACTCTGCCACCTCCACCCAAAATCACGGCAGCCTGGCTCATTGCCTGGGCCTTGGGGGCACAGCTGGGGTGCTCTGAAGGATTTTTGGTGCTGGAGGTGGGAGAGGGTCTCTGCTTGAGAGCCAAGTCCGGCTCCATGTGGTGCTCACTCCTTTGTGCTCTTCTCTTCAGGGACCCAAAGGTGACAAAGGCAGCACTGGTGAGAAGGTAGGTGCCAGCAGGCTGGGGACAGGGACCAGCCGGTGGTGGCCCTGGGCTGATGGCTCCTGTCTTCCAGGGAGAGCGAGGCCAGGATGGTGTGGGGCTGCCTGGCCCCCCCGGACCCCCTGGRCCCCCTGGACAGGTSATCACYGTGTCYAGTGAAGATGTAAGTGGGCACCTGGGGTCAGCACAGGGCGGGGAACAGAGACCTYGCCAGCAGCTCTGACCCTCAGAGCCGAGACCAGGCTGAAAAACCTCATTTTGTCTCTTTTTGCAGAAGTCTTTGGTGGCTTTTCCTGGTCCAGAGGTAGGTGTCCTCCTGCCACCAGTGCCCGCCTCTCAGTGTCAGGAGGGCACCCCTTTTTTTGGAAAGAGGGGTTTTGCTCTTAGGAGCATCTCTGCTTCTCTCTGCAGGGCAGGCCAGGCCACGCCGGCTTCCCGGTGAGTTGGTGACACATCTGGGGACCACGGGGGTGGCCCTCGTGACAGCTCTGGTTGCTGCTGTGCTTTGCTGCAGGGTGGTGTTGATGGAGGGGGCTTGGGGCTGCCTTTGGTGGCTCGGGAATGACATGGGCTGTGTCCTTCCTGCAGGGTCCGGTGGGACCGAAAGGAGACCAGGGCTCAGCTGGTCCCCAGGGCGCCCCGGGGCTGAAGGTAACTGCTCCAGGCCTGTGGGGTGGGCACAGCCCTGGTCCCCCATTCTGCCAGGCCACCAGGTGACAATATCCCTGTCTCGGGAGGGAGCCCGGTCCCTCCGTGTCCCCTCCCGCCTCCTCTTCTCTCGCAGGGGGAGAAGGGCGAGCCCGGCGTCATCATCAGCCCTGACGGGACCGTGGTCACCGCCAAGGTGAAGGGAGAAAAGGTGGGTGCCTGGCAGGGCTGGGGGCATGTCCCCGTGGGCCAGGTGGCGCCAGGGGTGACGCCCTGTCCCTCTCCATCGTTCGCAGGGGGAGCCGGGGCCGCGGGGCCCAGTGGGACCGTCGGTAAGTCACCGTCACCATCCTCCTCCTCGTGTCCCGGGGCAGGGATGGGGGGCGGGGGGTGCCCCCACTCTGAGCACCCTTATCCTCGTCTTCTCTGCCTGCCAGGGCCCCCCAGGACGAGCAGGGATGAAGGGCGAGATCGGCTTCCCGGGCAGACCCGTAAGAGCTGCTCCCGGTTTGTTTGTGTCCCCTRGCACCGTGCCCTCCCCGTGTGACCCCAAACCCTGCGTGTCCCCSAGGGACGGTGCTCTGCCAGGGCGGTGCCAGGGGGTGACTCTGGAGTGTCACACGTGACACCAGGGACTGGCAGGGGGACAGGGACGAGCCTCATTGTGCTGCTCCTCCGCAGGGACGTCCTGGCATGAATGGGCTGAAGGGCGACAAGGGTGACCCTGCGGACAYGCTGGGCCTGCGGGTGAGCACAGCTGTGACCCCACAGCCGCTGCAGGGCGGGCACACACCCCCRGGGTCACTCCGAGGACCCCTTGAGCAAAGGGCACACGTCCACCACTCTCAGGGGCTGGACATGCCTGTGTCCCCCTCCGTGGTGGGGACTGTCCACTTTGCAGGACCTTGACAGGTCCTCTTGCCTCCCCAGGGTCCCCCTGGCCCCCCAGGCCCCCCTGGGCCACCTGGGCCACCTGGGAGCATCGTCTACAACAACGGCAATGTGAGTATTGACACAGTCACCGTGAGGGACCGGGTCCCTGCCTGCCTGGAGGGCACAGAGGAAACTCTGGTGCCATCCTGGCTGGGGCTGGCACGTGGGACTGTCCCCAACATCGAGGGGCGGTCCCCGAGGATGCTGCAGTCCCTRTAGCCCCCTCCTTTGCATCCCCACAGAGCTTCAGCGACTCCGGCCACGCGGCGTTCCCTGGTAAGGGGGTGTCCCTCCCCCAGCCCCCTCCTTTGGGGACACTTGGGGGAATTTTGGCAGGGCAGGCTTGGGGGAACCCCCTCCCACAGAGCTGCAGCTCTGAGACGGCACCTCTGTTGCTCCCCACAGGCTTCCACCAGTTCCCAGGACAGAAGGGAGAGAAAGGTGACACTGGACCCCCAGGACCCCCAGGTAGGTGACCGGTGGCAGAATGGGGCCAGGGGTGGCTCGTGCCCATCCCAGCTGCTCTCCCCTCGTCTCCTTCTCTCCACAGGCCACTTCCCCTATGACCCGAGTCACTTCGGTGCCAGCTTGCGGGTAAGCCCTGTGCGCACTGGAAGCCAGCGCGCTTTGGGGTGCCTGGTGCCAAGTGCTCACCCTGAGGCTGTGCCATCCCACAGGGTGACAAGGGGGATTCAGGTCCCAAGGGTGAGAAGGGCGAGCCGGGCAGCACCCCACTCTACAGTGCCGGTGTCTCTGGGCTGCCAGGGCCTCCAGGGCCCCAGGGATACCCCGGGCTGCCGGTGAGTACCCCATGGGCTGGGCAGTGAGGAGGGCACAGCGGGGCTGTCATCCCTGGGGACTTTGCTCCAACAGATGTTCTCTCCCGCTGCCTAGGGTGCCAAGGGGGACAGTGTCATTGGGCCGCCAGGGCCTCCAGGACCTCAGGGTCCCCCTGGTATTGGATACGAGGGGCGGCAGGGCCCCCCTGGCCCTCCCGGCCCCCCTGGTCCGCCCGGCCCACCCTCCTTCCCAGGTCCCCACAGACAAGGTGAGTCCCTGCTCCAGGGGATCCCTCCTATGCCTCTGCATTCCCCGGTGCCACATCCCTCTCCATCTCACCCTCCTTCCAGCCGTCAGCATCCCCGGGCCCCCAGGGCCGCCAGGACCCCCCGGCCCACCAGGCAGCGGGACATCGCTGGGGGTGAGTGGGGGCTCTGGGTGGGTTTGGCTGCAGTGCTGGTGGCTGATCCCTGAGCCTGCTCTGGCTGTGCCCACAGCTCCGGGCTGTGCCCACGTACCAGGCCATGCTGAGCGCCGCGCACGAGCTGCCTGAGGGCAGCCTGGTATTCCTGAGTGACCGGCAGGAGCTCTACGTCCGCCTGCGGGGGGGATTCCGCAGGGTGCTGGTGAGTTGTGGGGCCGGAGGGGCACCACGGCCTGGGCTGCACCGTCCGGCTCGAGGGGAGCGCGGGCAGCACCGTCCGGCTCAAGGGGAGCGCGGGCAGCACCGCCCCCAGGGCTTGGCCGAGACACTTGGGGTACCCTCACCCATGCGTGAGGAAGAGGAGAGGGGGGCAGTGGGGATCTGACGTGCCATGCCCTTGCAGCTGGAGGAGCACAACCTGATCCCCAGTTCGGCTCTGGTGAGTCCTGTTCCCTATGCACATCACATCCCTATCCTCCATCCTCATCCTATCCCTCTCCTCCATCCTCATAAATCCTCATCCTCCATCCTCCCACATCCTCATCCCATCCCTATCCTCCATCCTCATCCCATCCCTGACCATCTCCATACCCATCTACCCCATCCATCACCAACCATCTCCATCCCCTTCTTCATCCATCCCCAACCCTATCAATCTCCATTCCCAACCATCTCCACCTCCACCCCACCTGGGGCGCTGCCACCCCCCCTCAGCCCATGTCCCYCTCCCCAGGACAATGAGGTGTATGACAAGCCACCCACCCTGCACTACGCCGGCCCGCAGCCCCGCGGGCCCCTGCACCCGCTCCGCAACCACGTCCCCCCGCCCACCGTGCGGCCCTGGCGCGGGGACGAGGTGGTGGCCAACCAGCACCGCCTGCCCGAGCAGCCCCTGCTCCACCACCAGCAYGAGCTCATCAATGGCTACTACATCCACCGCCGGCCGGAGCCGGCCCCCGTGGCYGCCCACGTGCACCAGGACTTCCAGCCCGCCGTGAGTGCCGCGCGCCGGCCGAGGGGGGCCGATGGCGGTGGCCAAAGCCGCGTCCCTCAAGCCCCGTTGTCCCCTCTTGGCAGCTGCACCTGGTGGCCCTGAACAGCCCGCTGAGCGGTGGCATGCGCGGCATCCGCGGCGCCGACTTCCAGTGCTTCCAGCAGGCGCGGCAGGTCGGGCTGGCCGGCACCTTCCGCGCCTTCCTGTCCTCGCGCCTGCAGGACCTCTACAGCATCGTGCGCAGGGCCGACCGCGTGGCTGTGCCCATCGTCAACCTCCGGGTGCGTGCATCGGCCCCGTCCCCTTCCCCACGCTCTCTGAGCTCCRAGGGGTCATAGAACAGGATCATGGAGTCCTTATGGTTGGAAAAAATCTCTTTAAGATCATCAAGTCCAACTGTTAACCCAGCCAAGGTTTGGGTTGCGGAGCTTACCAAAGCCTCCGTCCATCATGAGCCATCCCCTTCCTGGAGGCTGCCTGGGCTTGGAGCTCCTGGGACGCTCCTGGGGGGCTTAAACCCCTCCTCCTCCATTTTTCCACCCTTCCCACCAGGATGAAGTGCTCTTCAGTAACTGGGAAGCCCTCTTCACGGGCAGTGGGGCCCCGCTGAGAGCCGGTGCCCGCATCCTCTCCTTTGACGGCCGGGATGTCCTACGGGATGCGGGATGGTGAGTGTGGAATGGAGCGATGGGCAGTGGGGTTTGGAGTGTGGCGGGGCAGCAGCAGCCTCCTGACTTTCACCCTTCCAGGCCGCAGAAGAGTGTCTGGCACGGCTCGGATGCCAAGGGCCGGCGCTTGCCCGAGAGCTACTGCGAGACGTGGCGGACGGAGGAACGCGCAGTCACCGGCCAGGCATCCTCCCTGGCCTCGGGRAAACTGCTGGAGCAGGCAGCCAGCAGCTGCCAGCACGCCTTCATCGTCCTCTGCATCGAGAACAGCTTCATGACCGCCGCCAAAAAGTGACGGCCGCCCTGGCGCCCCCGGGTACCCCTGTCCCCCGGAAGGGTCGGGCCAGCCTGCACCCCGGCACCCCTGGGCCCCCCAGCCCCCTCCATGCGCCTGCTCTCGCCCCACAGGGTTCCCTTCTCCCGCAGACCTGAAGCCAAAGAGTATTGCCACAGCCCCTGCCCTGGCTCGGCAGGGGCGCAGGTCCCACCCGGGGCAGGGCAGCCTTGGGCTGGCTGCCTTCCTCCTCCTCCTCCTCCTCCTCCTCCTCTAATATTTAACCACTTCAGCTTGTTCCCCTCCGTGCTCGGATGCTCTTTGTGGGGTGGCTGGGTGGGAGGACGCTTGGCAGGGAGCTTTCAGCGCTGCCACCCACGGTGTCCTTCCCAAAAGCCTGTAGGGGCTCTCACCGGCATCCTGGCCCTGCGCTGTCCTCACCAGGAGCTAGGGGCTGCACCCAAATCCTGCTGCTGAGGCCGTGGCGTGTTCTCCAGCCAAAACCCCAGCATCCCACACAAGGGACTGTCCTGTGGCAGTGCCAGGGCTCCCCGGGATGGTCTCCATCCTCCCCAGGTAAGGACCATCCCCTCATCATCCTCACCTCCACCTCCTGGCCGGCAGAGCTGTGGTGGGGGTCCGGCCTCCATCCCCTCCACGCAGCCTCGGGACCCCCAGCTGTGCCYCCACAGGCACAGCCAGCCCAGCACAGCTACTGGGGTGACAGKGTGGCCCCGAGGCGTGGCCAGGCGTGCCCTTGGCATGTTTCTCTGTGTGTGTGCGTGTTGAGCACGTGTGGTACTGAGGTGCCATCCCCCCCCTCCCCCAGTGCCACCTTTGCTGGGCTCGAACAGCGAAGGCGCAGCAAAGCTGGTTGGAATTGGTGTGGGCAAATCCAAGGTGCTAAAAAAAAAAGACCAAAAAAAAAAAAAAGAAAAAAGAGAAATTTGTAACTAGCTTTTTTTTTTGTTATCGTATGGAAATTATTACCATAAAAGCTGTGCGAGTCACACGGTCTCTATTTCTTACAGTCTACTGTATTTTGTGTAATTAATGCAATTTAAAGCCTGTGGATCTTTATATTATTTTTTTGTCATCAGTTGTGTCTATAAACCATTTTCTAAAGGCACTGAATAAAGAAACATCCTCTTGTAGCCTGGCTCCGTGCCATGATGGGGACGCAGTGGGATGGGGTCCCCACCTGTACCCCCGCAGGGACATGGCGGTGGCACCACGGGAATCCTGACCCCGGTCTGTGTGTGTGTGGGCACCGGGAAGGGGCACAGCGCCGTCCTCAGAGCAGAAAACGTGTCCCAAGGGTTCCATCCTGGACAGTCCAGCGCCCAGGGCCAGCGGTGGGACAGGACACCGAGCGCACGGTGACAATGACGACAAGAGCCAGCCGTGGCGCCGCAGTGCCAGCGCTCAGGCGCGTGCGGTGCCCACCTCCGGGCTCTTCTCCTGCGCTGGAACCTCCACGGGGAGCTGGCATGGCCCCTTGGCCAGCGCCAGCTCTGCTGGCTGCCCACGGCGGCTGTGCCGGACGCCCACAGCAACGGCTGCCAGCAGGTAAACCACGGCCAGCAGCGTGAAGTAGCCAAAATACACGTAGAACTGCGGAGAGGAGAGGGGAGAGAGCRGCACTTGGAGTCATCCCACACCGTTCAGGGACCACCTCCATCCACCCCAGCTGCCCCCCGGCCCTACCTGGGGATGCACAGACAAGCCCAAGCCCCTCTTGTCGGCAACGATGATGGTGATGATGGTCTTCAGCACGGTGGCAAAGAAGGTGTTGACGCCGAAGACCAGGGCGCAGAGCTCTTTGGAGAGGGAGGTAGCGATCTGGAAACTGGGAGAAATGGGAGCGCTGGTGAAACCCTGGTACCCACCCAGCTGCCGGGGCAGGAGCGGGTCCCCAGGAGCGCCACGCACATGGCAATGGGCACCAGGAGCTGGTGGGAGCCACGRAACAGGATGTAGGCGGCGTAGCACAGCCAGATGTTGGTGGTGGAGTTCATGAGCAGGAGCAGTCCCGCCTGGAATGCCGTCACCACTCCGATCACCAGCTCCGACCACAGCGTCCAGCGGATCTTCATGTATCCGGCAGCAAAGGAGGCCACGGCTCCTGGGGAGGGATCGAGGATGCTGTGAGCACCTTGGGGATCGCCTGCCCAACCTAGATCATGCCATCCCCAATGCCAAACCATCAAAAATTCCACAAGGACTGCTGTTCCCAAGGAGTGTGGTGGGATGGAGTGTCCCACRGCATCCCAGCCATTCCCAGGGGATGCAGCAGGACGGGGGTGACCCCGCCACCTCCCCGGTGTCCCCAGCCGTTCCCACAGCAGACAGCAGAACGTGTCCCCTCACAGCCCCAGTGTCCCCATGGCAGGCCGKCTCACCCAGCAGCGTGGAGGCAGCATCCACCCCTCCGTTGTACACGCGGCGGTTGTCGGTGGTGGGCGAGATCTCGTTCCAGAGGATGTGGGCGTAGTACAGCATCAGGTAGTAGCCGGCCGAGTTGAAGACCCACCACAGGGACCAGAGGCGCAGCTGGGGCTGCCTGGCCAGCGCCCCCAGCTCYCGCAGCATGCGGCACAGCACCATGTCCCGCCAGCCCCGCGCATCCCTGCTGCCGTCCCCGATGGCCATCCTGTCCAGCTCGGTGGGCGCCGCCGCCTCGCCGGCCTCCCCGGGCCGGTTGAAGAACATGCTCCGCCGGGGCCGCTCCAGGAAGAGGGTGAGGATGAGGCCGAAGCTGACGAAGCCCAAGGAGACGTAGTTGAGGGTGAGGAAGGAGACGCCGCCCAGGGTGACACAGAGCTGGCCCAGCACGGAGCTGGTGAAGACGCCCAGGAGCACGGCAGAACGGGAGTAGCTGGCCATGCGCTGGTAGCGGGATGGGGCCACCAGCGAGAAGATGTAGGAGGAGTAGGCGATGCGGGCGGCCATGGTGATGCCGTAGAAGAACTCCATCAGCTGCATGGCCAGCACGGAGGTGCCCAGCACCAGCAGCAGCCAGATGGAGATGTGGCTCAGGCTCTGCAGCACCAGCACAGGCTTGTAGCGCAGGTAGTCCGTCAGCAGGAAGATGGGCACCAGCACGGCCATGTAGGAGTAGGACAGCACCGGCGTGATCATGTTGGTCACCTGCCGTGAGGGCGATGGGGGGCTGAGCGCCGGGCACATCCCTGGGGTGCCCCCCAACCTGGGCACGGTGTGGGCACCAGCTGCTGACCCCCATGGCAGCGCCTCCTCGGGGAGGAACGTGACCAGCAGCGTGCTCAGCCGGGGTCTGGCCCAGGCTCGGCCCCTTCCCGTGCTGGGAACGCAGCGTTCCCACAGGCGCAGCAGCTGGCTGGGATCGGGGCCAGCACCCTTTGGGTGGGAGAGACGACACTGTGGCCCCTCCTGGCCTAACCCCATCGCTGCCAGCAGCAACATGCCATCGTGGAAAGGWGTCCCCAGTGGGATGGGGCCTGGCTTCTCCCAGCCCAGCACCCTCATGCCATCCCACAGGCTGCTCAGGTGGGCAGGGGTCATGCACCGCCCCCAAGGTCAGCTGCCAGCCTGGACRTGAGGTCTTACGCCAGGGAAAGTTGAGCCTGGGACTCAGGGGAGAGGGTGACCTCATAGCCAAATGAGACAGGGACCCATACTACATCACCTGCCCCCAAAAAGCACCACCATGGGTCACCATGGCCAGAACACGACACCCCTGTGCACCTCAGAACCACACAGGGATGCTCTGGGCAGCCCCAGGGCGGTGCCCACGGCCGCAAAGGGGCACAGCAGGGTGGGGGACAGGGTGCCCACAGCTCACCTCCGCCTTTGTGAAGTTCTTGTCGGCCCCCAGGAGATAGGGGGTGATGAAGCTCTCCCCGGGCCGGATCTGCGTCATGAAGCCATAGAAGCAGAGGTAGAAGACCTGTAGCTTCCAGCGCTGCTCCGGCGCCGTCTCCGACGCCGGCTTTTTGGCACCATCACCCATCTTGGGCATGGCTCTGCAGCAGGACAGCGGCATTGTCCCCGGAGCCATCAGCTACACGGGCTCTGCCAGACCGCGCAGCCCCTCTCTGTTCGCAGGCGCTCTCGGACGCATGGAAAACCAGGGCGCTGCGGTTTCTGTGGAAAAAGAAGCATTTGGCACCGGCTCAAAAATTTCTCCAGAATCGCAAGGCAAACAAACACCGCCACCTTCTCCCCAGGAGATGTTCTGGGAAGAAGAAAAGCGGCCGTGTGTCTTGCTGTGCAAAAGCAGGGGGGGTCATTTCGGGCGGCGCTCGTGCGTCACGTGCATCCGGAGGAGCCTGGATGCGCGSAGCACCGGGATCCACCGCGGGGCATCCTCGGCTCCCATCGCCTCCTCATCCTCCCCTTTAGACTCTGTGGGGTTTTGCTGCTTCCCAGAGCGATGCTTCCCTGGGGGCCGAGGGACACTGAGCCCTGCGCTGTGGAGGGGACACAGGGAGGAACGTGCTGGCTGTGGAGGGAGTTAATGTGCACACCGGGCACAGGGCACCCACGTTACTCAGTAGCCGGGTGGCTGGCAGGATCCAGCTGAGCCACGGGCGAGCGGCTGCCCCTCGGCTCTTCCCGATGCCCAGCCCAGGGAGAATGCAAAACACCACGAGATTCGCGGTCCAGAGGGGGATTAAAAGCTCAAATCCTGAGGTTTGGCTGCAGGAAAGCTGGCAGCACCAAGAGATCAGAGTGGCGGTCATGGGATGAGGGCAGGGACGGGAGGAGGCCTGGACTGSGTGACCTCCCAGTGCTCCCCACTCCCCCAAGGAGTCACTGAGGTGACTTTCCATGCCATAAAATTCCACGTATGCCAATCCACGCCACAGGAGCAAGGTCTAGAAAGCTGATTACCCTGATAACTGCAGAACAGCTAATCACTGTCATTAAAAAGTTAAGTTCATGGTCCCAGTCTGTGTCCYGCTGGATCCCACACGGTGAAATTGGGGGATAATTCCCTCCCCGCTGCCGGATAACACGGGACTAACGGGGATGTGAGCCAGCCCCAGTGCGAGCAGGGAAAGCTGGAGGAGACCAAAACCCACAGGAAGCCGAATGCCCATCTGCCCCAGTGAGGACTCACCGCTCCAGCAGCGTTCCCATGGGATTCAGCACTGACAATCACCCAAACACCGTGTCCCAGAGCTCATGGCTCAGCCCCTACATCTTCAACAGATCCTTGGGGATCAAAGCAGGATCTGGTTAAGTGAGCCGGTGCGGCAGTGGCTGGAGCACCACCGTGGCAGGAARGGCAAGGGGCAAGGAGCAAGGGCTACACCCCCAGCGCCCACCCCAGCACCRCACCGGGGCCACTGCCAGCTGCGAGTGCCTGGACTCTGCCCCATCGCCTGCTTGTCCCCACGCTGGGCTGCTGATGTCACCTGCAGCCAGCCCCCACCACGTGTGCCAAGATCCCTGTGAGATGTTTGCCACCCTCTGGCCCCATGTCCCATCCAGGAGAGATGCACACACACGCCCCTGCCCCACAGGAAACTGTTCACGTGAAATCCAGGACGCAGTTCCACGAAGCTGCTCCATTCCCAGGAGCACCGGCTCCTAATKCCCACCAGGGGTGTCCCCACACATGAAGCGACTCCAGACCAGAACCCAATTCCGCCTTTCGAAAACATCCACGGAGCCGCTCAGYACGCTCCGCACGAGGTAATTGGGCACGAGTGCCAGGAACGCTCTATCCTTCATCCCTGGGGCAAGCCAGGGAGCCAAGAGAGAGGGAGGAGAGAAAGAGGGCGGGACGCAGCAGAGCTGCTCCGCTATCACCGTGTGAACCCGCTCATCGCCGGGTCACCGGGGCGTGACCTTGGCACGGATCGCTGTCAGCCCGGGGACACGGGTGGCGAGCTCAGGCTCAGCTCCCCGCAAAGCCACGGCCACCGCGGTGCAGAGGGGACAGCCCCGGGGGTCGGGGGGATGCTGTCCCCCCAGCCGCGTGTCGGTGACACACAAGCGACACTGCCAAGGCGCGATGTGTTCTSTGGGGAGCTGCCACGCGAATGGGGTTGCGCGACTCTCACGGGCACTTTGGCTAAAGCGAGGAGCGTGAAGCTCCTAAAACACACTCTCGCCCCCCCGTGCGGGCACTCCTGTGCCTCCCCCGCCCCGCACCGAGGGACGGGCGCTGCGGGGGATTTGGGGTGCACGTTTGGGGCACACAAGGGTGTTAGGGAGACGGGGGAAACGCGGCACCTGCTCGCCCTGACACATCCCCAGCACCCGGGCGGAACAATATCGCCGGCATCCTGGGACTCCCCCCGGTCACCGGGCACGCCCCCGCCCCGGGGCCACCCCGCACCCCGCACCCCGCACCCCGTACCTGGCGGGCGGCGGGCATGGGCGCTGCGGGCCGGGGGCGACGCGGGGGATGCCGGAGCTCCCCGGCGCTGTCCCCGCCGGATCCGCGGCGACCCCGCACCCCGCACCCCGTACCTGGCGGGCGGCGGGCATGGGCGCTGCGGGCCGGGGGCGACGCGGGGGATGCCGGAGCTCCCCGGCGCTGTCCCCGCCGGATCCGCGGCGAGCCCGGCAGAGCGGCAGGGCGAGGAGGAGGATGCGGGGTACCTCGGGAAATGTAGTCGCGGCACACGTGCGGGACGGTGCGGGGACTACAACTCCCACAGTGCAGCGGGCAGGAAGGGGCGGGTGCGGAAAAGGAAAAGGAAAAGCCCGGCCACCCTGGGACAGAGCTSCGCCGGCACTCGTGTGTCCGACACGGGGACAAATCCCGTCCGAAAGCCTCGGGCGGGCAGGGGGATGTGCTTTGCCGCTCCCCATCTCCCGGGACATGACGCATCTTCCCAGCGCATCTTCCAGCGCCTCTTCCCAGGGCATCTCCTCTCCCCGCCTCTCCGCCCCCCTTGCCAGCACTCACCCTGCCAGAAGCAAATGCGACCTGACAGGGCTCGGCTATTCGGCTGAAATATTTATACGTTCCCGCCTGGAAGTGCGGCAGCAGGATCCCAGCCGTCCGGGGACCGTCACACACGCACACCCGCCCCACCCAAGCCAGCCTGGAAGGGCTTCAGGCAGCCCGGCGTGGATATCCCCACCCAGACCCTTCCAGCCCTACCGAGTCCCCCAAGTAGTCCTGGGGAGGGTGGCCAGAGCACAGCAGACGTGTCCGCCAGCTCCCTGTCCCCACCCTGTCCCTCCCCCGGGCAGGTGGCACTTGTGTATCCATCCCTGGATGGTGGCAGGGCTGGGTCCCTTCCTTAAATGCGGACGGGTCTGGGTGCGGGAGCTCCGCAGGATGTGGCTCCGGGGAGATGCTGTGCGCCCGGGCAATGCCAGCACCCTGGGGCAGTCACCCTCAGCAGTGTCACCCGGGACTCCCCCCGGCCACCACAGGGCAGGGCAGGAGCAGGAACAGGGGCTGCGGCAGGGGCTGGGTTAGGGAGAGGGCAGTGGAGGCGCTGGGGCAGGAGCAGGGGCTGAGCAGGGGCTGGAGGAGTTGGGGCAGGAGAGGAGCGGGGTTAGACACGAACAGGGGCAGGGAGCGGGTCTGGGACGGGAAGGGACGGGGCAGGGGCAGGAAGTCGGGGGGCCGGGCAGAGCCGGGGGGGTGGCGGGCAGGGCTGGGCGCACCCGCTCGGCTCCGGCTGCCACCGCCCCTGAGCCAGCCCTGCCGCTCCCCCGCCCTGCCCCAGCCCTCCCTCCGCCCGTCCGCCCGTCCGTCCGGACACAGGTAGGGCTGTGCCTTCTCTGGGGCGCCGTGTGCTGGGCGCGGGGGGCCGGGACGGAGCTCCCAGTCCCGCAGGGGCACCCCGACACCTGGAGCGGGATGGAGGGTCCCCGGGCGGGGACGCGGATGGGTGTGGTGGCGGCGACATCGGGGCGAGGCGGCTCCCGGTGCGGCATTACCCCGGTGGGCGGCGGGCGGGCACCCACCGACCCACTCCTCCGCGTCCCCCCGTCCCCAGGAGGTGTCCCCTTGCTCTGACACCTTCCCTTGCTCTGACACCTTCCCTTGCTCTGACACCTTCCCCTGCGAGGCTGTTGGGAGTTGTCGGTGCCTGGCTCCCAGCCTTGGGGAGGCTCCCGGGTTTTGCTGAAACGAGCCCAAAGTGCTGTCCCTGCCTGGGGACGAGTAGGGGTCTCCAAGGGGAGCGGCTTTCTGCACACCCGCACTCGCCGCTGCGGGAGAAGGRTGCGTGGGGATGGGATGGGTGACGGCGGGGATGCTGCATGGCTTTGGGTGGAAGCGTCYCGAGGGGTCTCACGGTGTGCTGCTGAGCCCTGGCTGCTGGGTTTGGGGTGCCCGCACCCATGGGGTCCAGTGTCTGCTGGTCAGTTGTGAGCTCGTGCTCCAGGCGTGGTGGTCACCAAGCGGTGCAGGTGCAGCCCCAGCATCAGAGCTGGAGGAGGAGAAAAGGGGTCCCAGGCCTCCAAACTTCCCCTTTAGCTGGGCAGATCATCTCCTGGGAGCCCATTTCCCCAGGCAGCACTATTCTGTCCTTCCTCTGAAATTAGAATCATCATGGAATCACAGGATGGTTTGGGTTGGAAAGGACCTTTGGAGGGTCTGGTTTTAAGCCCCTGCCACCCTCTCGATCTCTGCTGGTTCTTCAGCACATGCCTCCAGGGAGCACTGGGTGCTCTGCACTGGGATCGCTCCACACCGGGGCCACTGTCCCCCATCCCACGGAGCGGGCGCAGGAGGGCTCCGTTTGTTCARTTCTCACTCCTGGGACAGCACGTACTGCCCATCCCCTTTCAGCAGGTCCTGCTGGGGTCTGGGTGAGACATCCTGGGGAGGGGTGGGTGCAGCAGCCCAGCCCTGTGCAGCACCCTCTAGCACGCAGTGCACCGCAGAGCATCCATCCCCAGCCTGTGCGGATCTGCATGGCATCCCGGGAACTGCTGCAGGGATTCCCCCTGCTCCTGCACGCAGCAAACCCAGGGCAGATGGGCAGCTGGTGCCCCTGGGCTGCTGCTGTGCCATGGATCGGGTGTCCCGGGCTTTCCAGGCCTGCACGGTTCATGCTGTCCTTGGGAGAGCAGAGGGCGTCTGTGCATCTTGAGGGATGCAGGGTGGTCCTGGTGGGAGATACAGGACACTGCACCGGGGTCTGGGGTGGGCTGGCAGGAACCCCCGGGGTGGAGGGGAYGCAGCAGCCCCCAGTGCAGACGGGAAGGAAGCAAACCGGGGTGCAGAACCCTGTGGGAGGTGAAGAAGCCACTCAAAATCTCCGTGACCTAATCGGCGCTTTCAAGGAGTGGCCTGGGGAGGATGCCAAAGGGAAATCCCTGTCTGAGCTCGCTTTGAATGTCCAGGGCAGACCCGTGCAGATGCTGCCAGACTGCTGGGGTGGGTCAAGAGATGGTCCATGGGGCTGTGGCAGGATGCTCCAGTCGTGTTTAGTGGGTACCAATATAACCCCCAGCACCTTTCCCTTCTCATTTTGATGGCCCCAGGAGAGGCTGGGCTTGTTCTGGAGCCCTGCACGGAGGCTGCAGTGCTGCAGCCACCCCTGGGTGGACCCTTCATGCCCAGCCCTGGGCAAGGAGCATCATCCTCTATCCTGCTGCCCTGTCCCGTCAGGGAATAAAACCTCCTTTTAACACAGAAATTATACTGTCCCCCAGGGGCTGTTTTCTGTAAAGGAGAGAATATGGGATTCTCCAGCAGGCTGGTTCCCCCTMTTGTGGGGAAAGCCYATCGAGTCTTGGCACACTGAACAGKGAGGATCCCATCGAAGTTTTGGATGGTTGGTGGGTTCCTAAATGAAACAAGGACTCAGGAGTTCAGGAATCAAGAGCTTTCCCCCCAAAACAGTGAAACAAAGAGCTTTAAATTTTCTACCTTATTTTTCTGAGTTGTGTTTTTCCTTTGGTGGACCGCAACCATTGTCCTGTTTGTTGGGCAGGGTTTGTGGTGTGGAAGAGAAATGCCATTCCCCAGGTGATGGGCTTGTGTTTCTAGCCCCATTTGGTCCATTCTCGTGGCATGTCCCTGTCCCTACCCTTGTCAGGGAAGTGTTGGCATYGTGTCCACCAACCCAGTGGGAAAATCCGGCACTGAGCAGAGGAGAAAGGATCTGCATGGGAGGGCAGCCCCAGCCAGCTTCTGGCAGGAGAGGGTTAATCCTGGAGCTCCATCCAGCTCTGGTATCCTATTGCTGGCTACTTTGGGTAAAAGCTTTTTTGGCTCAGTTTCAAGGGTATCAGGCTGGAGGATGACTCATGCATCCCTGCCACCAAGGAGCAAACTCCTGTCCCTGCTTTGCCAGCACGAGGGGATGATTTCCTGAAAATCCGAGTGCCCTGGAGGGTCCTGGTCATGCCCTAGAGGGCTCTGGTCAGCTGGGTTGGGTAAAGCTGCATGCAGGAYGTGCCTGTCCTTAGGGAATTGGGGTGGTGACATCTCTGGCACGGKTTCTGGGTGATATTCAAATGCTTGTGTGGGTGTCCCCAGGATGGGAACAGGCTGCAAAGGGTGCATTTTTTGGGGGATGTTTCTGCCCCATTACTGACCCTCATCCTTTTATCCCACAGGGGAAGAGCTGCCCATCCAGCTGCAGCTGTGCCCTCCCAGTGCTGCCAGATGTGCCCCCACGCTGTGCTGCRCCCAGAACCCACTCTGGAGGTGAGGAGGAGGGAACAGCCCCACCACAGGCCTGGGGCTGCCCAGGGGACTCTTGGTGGGATGGTGGCGTGTCCCCCTGGCCCAGGTCACACAGGATGGTGGCCATTCCAGGCTGGACACTGCTGTGGGCATGGGGACACAGCCATGGGTGTGGGGACATTGACACCRTGGGGACACCACCACTGTGGGCACCACCATGGAGAGAGGTGCCCTTTAACCCAGGTGATGATCTGTGATGAGGTCCCTGCTTTGCCCATTGTGTTCTGAAAAAGGTAAAAATGAGGAATTTTGGTGATGGCAGTGCGTGAGGGAATCCAGGGAAAACCTCCTCTCTTTTGTGCAGGCAGAAAACGGAGGGCTTAGAAAAAGTTTTGAGGTTTTGAGGGGGGAATTATTTCATGCCAGGAAGCCTAATCCATCTCTAGAGTGACCCTGCTTGGACCAGACTCCCAGACATGCTCACTTGCTCTGTGCCTTTAAACTTTCCTTAAAATATGAGAACAATTCCCTATTTAGAGGCCTTTATTGGACTGATAATGTGAAAGCACGGCATGATAATGTGAGCCCAGGGTGTCTGGCACATGAAGCCCTTCCCTGTGACAGTGTGGCTCCAYGGGGCAGATAAACCTGTGCTTGATGGTTTCCTCTGTGACTCAGTTTCCCCACCTGGGRGACAGGTATTCTTGGGGTTCCCTCAGGAAAGTGTTGGGATTTTCCCCAAATCTCCCCTCTGGGGCATGGCAATGGATAAGTGAGGGACTTGGATTCGCCTGTTTTGACTGCACAGCTTGAGTGGCCATGGTGCCAGGGACACCCCAATGGCTCACCCTGTGTCCCAGGCCATCCCCTGGGATGTGCAGTGGGATGTGTTCCCAGGGGAGTGGCACTGGGGCTGTGCCCYGCTGGTGGCTGTGGTGTTACCTCCTCCAGGGGTTCCCAGGCTCTGTGGCTGTCCACGCTCCTCCATCCGAGGTGCAGGGTGCAATCCAAACCCAGATGCCACCTATCCCAGGCTGCACCTTTTCCATCCTTTCCCTGGGCTGCAGCTCCTCCTTCCCAGCTTTTCTGCCTGTCCTCGTCAGCTCTCCCACCTCGGAGTTTTCTGAGCAGCCCTGATGAGATCTGGTGAGACATTTGTCCCTTGAGAGCACACAGGAGGAGTTTTCCAGCCCTTGAGCGAGGGAAGAGGGGACACCAGAAACAAAGGAGGGAAGGAGATAAAAGCACAACCCAGAAGAATGAAGGGTGGCGTGAAATTTGCTGACCTTCTCCCTCTCCATGGCCTCTGGAGCAGAAGGGGAATGAGTTGGAGAGAGCTGGCTGCTTGTGGGTGGCCCTGGGAGCAGGACTGTGTGTCCTTAGGCTGACCTCTCTTTTGGGGTCAGAAACACCTTTCTGAGGGACGCAGGGTGAGCGTGGCCGTGGGGGATGTCCCTGCTGGGATCTGCTGTGGGACTCAGTGCCCAGCCCAAGTGCTTTGACCCAGTCCTTGTTGGGGKTGTCTGTGCATTGAAGGGAGTGTGTTTGGCTCTCCAGATGCCATCCTGAGGACCTGGASTGACCCACTGCAGCAGACCCAGTCYTTGTCCAGCAGCGAGGGAATCCACTGGGGGTAGTTCAGCTCATCCCAGTGGCTGCTCCTCCGGCTTCCTATGCCCACCAAGAGCCTCTCAGTCTTGAAGAAGCCTCAGCCCTTCATGGCTGGGGAGCATTTTGAAAGTTTTAAGAGCTCAGCAGATGTGGTTTTCACCCTGGAGGCGCCAGCTGCCGTGTCTCCCTGCACAGGGCACTTAAGGCTTAGCTTGCTGTGACCTAAATGTCTGCTTGTCCCCAAAGCGGGTCTCCACCAGGTACCCAAACTCCTGGCGCTGCTCCTCTGCCCTCAGGGATGCTGGGATCCCTCTGGATGTGCTGGATACTGCTGGGTTYGCTGGAGAAGGGAGGAAAAGGTGGAATGTTGAGCTTTCCCCCTTTGGCAACCCATTTGTCCTCTAGGAGATTAGTCCCTTCCCTGGCTTATGGGGGGATTTGTGGCTGCTCCATCTGCTCGAGCCCAGCAGGTCAGCGGGTGCCAGGGAGGAGCAGCCTGAGCCCAGCTGCTGTTTCCACTCCCAGGCATCCCAGGGAAAGGGTTGCACCCTTCTTTTGGGCATTTCTGGCTGTATCTGTTGGAAAGCAACAAAAATCCCTGGAGCTGGGCAGGTGAAAATCATGCTTGTAATAGGGTCTAGACCAAAGAGTGTTCGTTGGTGGAGCTGGTGAAAGCCATGTGGAGTAATGTCAGTGTTTTTAAGCTGCTTTTTAGGCTGGTGGAAAGCCTTGAGGATGCTCCAGGATCTCCCCTCTCAGCCAGGATAATTGCAGGGAGATGATTTGCCTGTAAATCCACTTGGCCTTTGGGAAAGCAGGCAGGCAGGTGGGGAGAAGAGCATCTCAGTGTGGGCTTTCCCACAYTGGCAGGGATTTGGGAGGGAAATGGGGGCGTTTGCTGGCTCAGAAGTACTTTCAGAGCCAGGTTTTCCCGAGGGGAAGAGCRGGAGGCGATAGGGGCGATACAGGGCTCTCCCTTCTCCTGCTCCGTCGCTCCCATCTCGTCACCCATGGAAGGTGGTGGGGAGCGAGGAGGGTGAGGTGAGTTAGGGAAGAGCTCATGACAAGTGGGCTTAGGGAGGCTGGATTTATAGGGACTGACTGAACTAGGTTTGTGGAAGCGTGGGGGGTGCTGGGTGATGCTGAGTGCCATCCTGCTCGCGGGATGTGGAGACCACAGGACGCAGGAGCCTTTGCCCACAGCCAGATCCCAGCCTGGAGCAGCTCTGAGGCGCTGCTGGAGCCAGGAATGTGCTCCCCGCCGTGYTGCTGTCTTTGTAGGGTGTGGATCCACACAGGACCCCGCCAGCTCCCAGAAAGCACCAGCTTCTCTCCTAACGCGGCAGGAAATCGCAAGCAGGGCAGATTTGGGCCATGTGGGTGAACTGCTGGGATGCCAACGCCGTGGCCGAGCAGCTCACCCAGCCCTTTGGAGCCCGGGGCTGACCCGTTCCAGCCCCACCTCCCTTGTCCTGCCCTCGCTCTTTGGCCAGGAGCACCGATGGAGGCTGCCAGGTGTCAGCTCGGAAATGTTTTAACTTTCCCCCGTCTCCGCAAATGGACAATGTCTCCGCTCATTAGCTGCTCGCCCAGGGGGCAGATGTCAGCTCTGCTCATGGCTTTTCTCGGCTCAGCTCTGCCCGGGCTCCTGACGGCTCCGCAGCGCTCAGGTCCCATCATATCACCGGGCTCTGCCTGCGGGGCTGCCCCGCTCTGGCTCCGGCAGCACCTCCCCAACCACCCCCACCACGGGCTCCTCCTCGGCAGCGCCGTTTGCCAGGATTTTTAGTGAAAAAGCTGGAAAATCACGGGTGCCGGTGACACACGCACGCATGTGTGTGCAGAGCTGGAATTGGTTCTCCTGGGCCGGGCAGCGCTGCGAGGGGAAGGCGGCTCTGAAGGCTGGGCTTTGAGACTGATGCGTGCCGACAGCTTGTTCACTGGGACATTAAAATCATTGCCTCTGTCTGCGTAAAACACCCGGGCGGGTGGATGATGGGAACACAGGTCAGGGGAGGATCCTYCTCTCCCTGCACGGGGGGCAGGGGTGCGGAGAGCCCCGCAACAAAGCAGATCCTGGCGGTGTGAGGCTGCTGCATCCCCAGGGGAGGGAAGGGGAGCTCCCACCAGCACGAAGGGGGCTGGCAGCCTTGGGGGACAATGTAGCTGGAGCCATCTCACCGATATTCCCATCTGTGGGGTGTGCTATAAGTCAGGGTTTGATGGTATGGTGGGAAAACATCGCCATCCCATCCGCGTTCCCATCTCATTCCATCCCATTCTGTCCATCCCATTCTGTCCATCCTATCCTGCCCCATCCCATCCCATCCCATCCCATCCCATCCCATCCCAT